GGCCGATTCGCCCCGCATCGTTTGATCTTGGCCTCGGCTACGTGTACCGGCAACCCGAACAAGGGGCATTTACGCGAAACTGCTTTCCTGAACCAGACGTCCAAGGGGGAAGGCAGGCGCAAGGTGGAGGGTAGGGTTAAGGTTCGAGGCGAAAGGAGGAGGAAGAGAGGAAAATAAAGGTAAAGGGTGGATTTATTGGTCCGAGAAGACACGACTCCCCCTTTAAGAAAGTAAAAGTAATGACGATTGTAAAAGACAATTACGTCGGACGTTTCGAAGGGAAGAAGGGGAGGAGGGGAGGGAGATGGAAAGGAGAGGAAATAAAGTGAAGTTCGAGGTCAAGAAGATGAAGGACGAGTTAATGGAGAAGGCTGGGAAAGAACTGAAAAAAAAAAGAAAAGAAAAAAGAGGGGAGCAGAGTTGAAGAGAGAAGTGAAAAAGAGTGAAAGTGGAATAAAGTTCAGGATGAAGAAAATGAGAGACGAGTTAATAGGGAGGAGAAAAGTTGAGAAAAAAGAAAAGAAAAAAGAGAAAGAGAAGAGTGAAAGGGGATGAAAAGAAGCGAAAATGGAGTGAAGTTCAGGGACAAGAAAATAAGAGGCGGGTTAATAGAGAAGATAGAAGTAGGAGTAAGAAAAGAAAAGAGAAAGAAAAAAATAAAAGACGGAGGAACCGAAAAATGAGTGAGAAGAAAAAAAAAGTGAATGGGATAAAGTGGAGGAGGAAGTGGAGGAAGGGAGAAGGAGCAAGACGCATAGGGAAGTCGCGCAAGTATGCACTTGAGCGTTCGGTTTCGTTCGCAATCTCAGGAGTTTGCATCCGGCTGGATGCACACCAAGTAGTGCACGAGTTTCGAAAGGGGGAGTCCGGTGCACGGAGATACGGAAGCTTACGAAGCCAACGAGACGTGGCACCGGTTCGTTGGGACACACGAATCTCGCCAGGCTAGGGTTAACGAGGCTGTGGAGAACGGACAATAATGAATCTCGAAAAGGAAAGGAAATATCGCTCTCCTCAACTTCGACTAATGGTGGCAGTCGTCTCCCTCTTCAACCTTACTCCTGTTCAACCAGAGTTTACCATTGTAGCATTGTGTGTGCATTATGCGGAGTAACATCCTTTGGATGGAAGGTAGTGCTATGCGATACTCAAGAAAAGAATGTTTAGCGTGTTCCGCCATAGAAACGAATTTAACCTGAAGCACCCTCCTCTTTGAAGAGTCCGCGGGCTTAATTAAGTCACGTATACTTACGTGGGATGAGTGAGAAACGGAGAAAATTGAGCCGTAAAGCGCACTCGGGACCCTTTTGAAAATTTAGGGAAAAATCTTCGATAAGTCGAAGAATCGACACTATATTCTTTGGTTTAATATTTTTTTCTACCTTTCTACCTTCCATTTCAACTAACTTTTCCTTATATATAGTTTTCTCTTTTTTCTCTCTATTCGATCATATTCTCGATTTCTCAAGTTTCGATATTGACGAAAATTATTACGAGATATTTTAAGTTTCATTTCATATTTACGCTACTCGAATCGCTCGAAATTCGATTATTCGCTCGGTTTGCTCTTTATCTACATATTCATATCCGTATTACGTAACGTATACGTTTTATTAACGAAGTATTCATGGAAATTATAGTACGCGTATTCCGTTAATATACCGCGAAGGATCGAAAACCGTGGAGAATATTGATTCGACCTCTCTCCGGCGTCCGCTCATTTTCACTTGCAATCTCGTAGCGTGGAATTTTCTGTAGCTCGACGCGCAGAATAATCTCGCGAGTTATCGATCCGTGAAACTAATTCACGGAAAGAAAAAGAAGAAGAAGAAGAAGAAAAATAGGAAAAATGGAAAGGAAATCGTGGAGCTGAGAGTCCCAGGGAATTCGTATTCCTATTGCCTATTTCTACGATATATCAAAGTGGAAAGGGGAAGCGGTAATCGCGAGGTAAGACAAGGGGGAAAACGTTTCGGGGGAGCATTTAGAAGTAGTACAAGTCGAAGGGTGAGAAGCTCTTCCGGGACCGAGAGAACGATCTCTCCAAGGGCAGAGCACAGGAATGGTGAATTTTACACACAGAGAAACGCGAAAACGCTCCACTCTTTCCACCTTCGTTCTCTGTCTTTCATTTTCCCTTCTTTTTTCTTTTTCTCCTCATCCCTCCTATTTCCATCCCGCTCCACCGTTAGCTTTCTCGGTTCCGAGCCCCTCGAATTACAGAAAGCCTTTATTATCGACGCATAGAAACGCTCGCTCTGTCTGTGCACACAACGGAAATTGCTCGAGAACGCTCGAATATCATCTTCGCGACGGAGAGTTTAATTGGCTAAAGTCACTTCTGTCCCTCGACAACAGCTGACCTCGGCAAAGATATGAAAATGGATCCCGATGCCTCGAAAATAAATGCTTTTTATATTTCCCCTTGCTCTACCATACTTTCATCGTACGATGATCGACAATTTTTTTTTTTTTNTCCATTATTAACGATACATGAAATGCAATCGCGATAATGATCAAGAATGAA